GAGGCAGAGCGAGTCAAGTGAGAGAGAGAGAGAAGAGGGGAGAAGCCATAGCCGCTATCTGGTTGAGACCCGTTGCGTGTGTGTGCGGCAGAGCCGCTGAAGACAAACATTCTTGAATATCGATAATAATATTGGAGACAACATCTTCACGTGTTGATTGTATCTCGATTTGGCCTCTCGCGTGTGAACCCTCATGTGAAGGTTCACTGATGTATGCGACGTTGAACTTTGCGAGTACTTGGCTCATTTCACATAACCCTCCTTAGGCCTATGATCTATTCCGTTGAGACCCTGAGCACCACCCCCGTATCTTCTGCAAAGGCTGAGGATCGAATATCCTGATCCCCCACCTGAAGGCCTTGTATGGTAGTATCAGCTCTCAGCATATCGGGCAGCACCTCGACGTATAGCACATACAGGGCAGGTGACATAGGCATCCTTGCCTTACTTACCCGGTTGCATGGAGTGGAAGCGAGATATGGCCATTGATGCGGATCGCTACCATGGCTGTTTTTTTGTCAAGAGTTTCCCCACCCACCCTACAAACTCTTCTCACACCCCTCGTGCCCTTAATGCCTGCAGTAGAAAGCTCCACCGGACCCTATTGTAGGCTTTCTCGAAGTAGATGGATACAAGGGCAACCCTCTGGTCAGTGGCATTTGCCACTTCAAGCACCTGTTTGGTCAGCAGCAGGGAAGAGGTTATCGATCTATCCGGAACAAAACCGGTCTGCGACCGGTGGATAACCGTTGGAGTGACAACCGAGATCCGGGTTGCCAGCACCTCAGATAGGATTTTGTAATCTGTATTCAAGATGGCTAACGGCCTCCAATTCTTGATTTCCGCCTTATCCCCATTTTTGATGACAAGAGTAACATATGCCTCCCCAAAGCCTTCCGGAAAGCATTTCCCTGTCAGGGCATCGGTATAGGCATCAGCCACATAATCGACAAACATACTAGGGAGCCCTTGAACATTTCCAAGGGGATGTCGTCAAGGCACGGTAACTTCCCTCTCGGCAGGTCCATAATCGCCCGCCACACCTCCTCAGATGTAATTGGCCGGTCTAACTCTTCCTTCTGAGCTTGTAATAGGACGGACCAAATATCATTCCACACAGCTTCCTTCGGCTCATGTGCCATGTCCCTCGCCGTCGATTGCTGCTCGTCAGTGAATAAGTACAAATAGAAGTCCGTAACATATGCCAAAATATTGGCGATTGGGGTGGAAGGGGTGCTTAAGTTGTAGTACTTTGTACCGTGCGAAGAAAACATCTTGAGCTTCTGTTATGACTGGTACGTTGAGAGTTTAAGCCTCTTGAAGTATTGTGAAATTGAGGGTCTCAACCCTGATAGGCACAGTAATCAAGCCTTGACTGTCAGCTATGATGATTCTGACTGAGAATTCAACCTGGGAATTCTTCTATTGGGTGTGTCTAGACCAGCCGCAGCAGGACCTGAGCAGCCACTTCCACCTGGCCTGCCGCTCCCGCATTGCCATGGGTTACATAGTGGCACCACTCACCCCTAGCGAGCTACTAGCGTTGACTGGCCCTGGCCATCCTCAGCAGGCCACCGAAAGTGATGGCAACGCGATTAGAACCCAGCACCTACGCGGTGCCATTCAGACATGAAACCTACTAAGGTAGCCGATGGGATCCCCTTCCCTTTCCCCCCTCCTGGCAGCCTTCACTTCAGACTGGCGTCAATTTTTCAGGTCCACCTTCACTTAGGGAAGCCTGGCCTTGTCTTCACCGGCGGCCAATTTGAGGACTGAGGCTGGAGCCTACTGCACTAAAACAAGAGGCACATACTGCATCATAGCCACACATGGCCACATGAGAGGGTCGATCTTTTTTTTTTTTTTTTTTTTTTTTTTAAATCAAAACCCTACCAGTGTTAGTGTTGCTGGTAAGAGCAAACACCACTAACACCAGGGTGGAGACTCCATCTATTGGTGGGGAGCGTCTACTGGCCTTCTGAAGCAAATTAAGGTCGACAAGAAGGAGAACTGTCCACTAATCTAAGCCAAAAGACTGCAACAGCGCCAGAAAGTGGCAGCCCTCAGAGTTTGACCACTACATTGAGGCCAACAGAACTCACGTCGAGGAAGGAAGGGATTCCACTAGGGAGAGGGATGCTATGGAGGGGAGATGAAAAATGTACAAAATGGGGTGGGTTGGGTACATCCAATGACAGGGAACTATTGCAAGGAAGTGGAAACAGATGAAGATGTGTGAAAGATAAAGGCACAATTAACTCTCACCTTCATTATTCCTTTTGCTCTTTTGTAGCTCAGCAGTCAGTCTCTTCACGTGAATCGACCTTGACCTGGGCATGATGATCCAAACAATGACTGTCAGAAGTTCAGAACCATCTTGTTTTTACCCACTCGATTCTTCTTTTAGCAGATTAGGTTGCTACGATCCTGCTCAATTCGCAACAGAAGAGAACTTTGAGACTACGAAATACTTCGCAACGCCAGAAGGAGTGGATTTAGACCAGAAAAGAAGAATGAAGAATGGAAGGAGAAGAAGAAGAACATAAGATTGAATCAATGTCATCTGGGTTTTCCTCTTGCCATCATAATCTGCCTCACACAATCGCCTCCTCATCTTATAAGCAGTTGAATACAACAAAAAACAAATGAATGAACAAGAATCAATGTCCAAGTTATCCCCTTTACTGCCACCTGAAATGACCCGCACAGAATCAGTCCGAGTTTTCTGAAGTTTCTGTGCATTGCTGCTTGCCAGCCTGATTTGCTGAGATTTCCATGTTTTGAGTGTGATTGCTGTTTGCCTGTGTGTCTCTAAATCTCGATCTGATGATTGCCATGTCGTGAACTACCTCTGTCCTCGTGCTGTGTTTTCTGTGTCTCGGTAGGAGTAGGACTGAAATCGGACACCAGACGGACTTCTTTGGAAGGCCAGGACGAACAAGGATGGAATTTGAGATTTTCAAGTACCCAGTAAGGATTTTCCAACGACTCGGGTATGCCCAATTGAGTCCAGTAGGCTTAGAAAGGTCCAATACCTTCCAAAAGAGGCCATGATGGTTCATCACCCATGTGCCATTAGATTTCAGATTAGGTTCAGGAACGAGGATGCAGACTGCAATGATGTTCCTGCCAAAAGGCAGAAACTTTGGGTAGGTCCACTGCACCAGTAGAGGCAGTAGTACCTGGCCAGGGAAGGGCTGGAGTCCGAAAGTCAAGAATACATCAACGAGAAGGCAGGAACATTTTGTCCAGCAGCCATGCAGCTGCTCAATGCAGAGGGTGAGTAAGATGGATCTCTGGGAAGCACTGGAGCTGGAGGGTGAAGAGGAAGACCTACTTGGCTATGGAGATGTGGTAGTTGAGGGGTGCAGGCCTAGGCCATGGAGTTAAGAGGGAGAAGTACCGCAAGCTAGGCTATGAAGAAGGGAGGACAAACTAGAGGTCGAGGGAGATGAAGGGGAGGGTCAATTTCAGTTATAGCTAGGCCATGGGAAAGTGGCTTGCGGTTATAGCTGTCTCTTTCAATGGCCGGTCGCTGACTGCGGCTAGAACGATGCTGACAGGTGCTGGTGGGGACACCCCCTCTGTAACCCGTAGCAGATGGGAGCTTGAGGCCTGGGGGAGTGTCTAGAGAAGGGACAGTGATCCCTACTGACTCTAATAGTCATGCCATCAGGATAGTCAGAAGGCAAGCTGCTGAGGAGATGGCTACTTCGTAATCAGTTTTGCTGGAGGGAGGATGGTGGGTGGTTATTCCTCAGTGGACGGTTTCTATCATGACTCTCCATAGCTTTCTCTGGAGTTCTCAAAATTGGAGCATATCTCATCACCAAAGCTGGCAGGGTGTTTTGTCTGAGAGGGGGGTTGTTGTTTAAAAAGTGGAGCACTGCCCTGCCGGGGCATCACATTGGTGGGAAGTGCATGTTCCTAAGGGGCTAGGGGCGGATAAGTGGGTTTGCCCTATCTGGGGCCAAGGTGGGTAGTTGGGGTGGTACTCAACTCCAGCGGAGGCAGGTAGTGGCAAGTGGTATTCTCTGAAGGAGGGGGAGGTGAAGCATCTGCCCTACTCCACGGAGGGTCGGGACATAAAGGTTATGTGAGCTGCTGTCATGCGGGGGTCTACTTTTGGAGGGAGCTGCAAGCCCTTGAGGGAGCAAAGGTGGAGTTCGTGGTCTGTCTCCTCTTGATGGAGGCCAGGTAAGGACAGGTTTTGCCTTCTCTAGTACAATTGGGGGCTGCAAGGGTAGGTACGGGAGGTCGCTGTGGTGGAGTCATCATAAAATGGAACTTCTGGATTTGTTGGAAAAAAAAAAAAGAAAAAAGAAGAAAAAATCCTCTGTAGAACTCCATGATCGTTCAGAAGCAGAAAGTTCAGCAGTCTTTTACGTTGTTCTCAACCGAAGCCAGGTAATGGCCCAGGTATCTCAAATGGTTCTGTATATTTCCATACAGGATGCTGGGTCCGGTTCCCAGCATGCGCTGCTCCCAAGACTAGTTTGGAATGCAACGAAAATGAGCAATAGCGAGATGACAATATACAGATTGCATGACAATATACAGATTGCACAATCACATCGAAAGCCAGATCGTATCACAGTGTTCAGAAAGCAGCATCACACCAATATGACACCAATGGAGAATCGTAGTACTGAAAACCAATGTCAATGAGAGCTTGCTCTCACCACCATCAACATATGTATGCAGTTACTATCTCCCTACTTGGCGCTCGGCGCCCAGACACAGCTACTACTAGCCTACTAATTGACAATGCAACTGTTGACGTCAGCAGCCTCCAAAGGACTTGAAGATGTCGCCCATGCAGACCATCGCGAATAACATGTATGTGCCCTCACATCATCATCATCATCATCCTTCTCTCTCTCCCTCGTCTTACTCCCACGTCTTCCCATCTTGTACACCCGAAGACCACCCCTGTGCCTCACTGTACATCCCAGCCCGCCAGCTATGGAGGCTGGGCTATGGTGCTGCCCTCAGCAGCGCCCTCCTCCTTGCACGACCGCACGTGCTTGCACGTCGCCTCTCAGCGCTAGCAGCAGCCCACGAGCTTCAGCTCCAGCAGCGCTGCCGCCAGCATGCGAGTGCCCAAATGAGCTTCCAGGCCACAAGCTCTTTCCTATATGGAAAGAGCCTGGCTGGCCTGGGCCTGGGCCCAGAAGCTTCCGGTAGGCCCCAGGATGCTGCGCCTCTGGTGCGGCTACTGGGCCTCATTCAGTTGGGCCTCCCAACTGTCTGTGTATGAGGCTGCGAATCTCGTCCAGGGCCTGCACTTTGGGAATTGCCTAGAAGGCCGTGGAAATTCCTTGCTTCCCGGCCTGTGTTTCCTCAACCAACTGGCGTGACGAAACTGCCTGGACCCCAAATACGATTTTGACAACTTAGGGCCTCTCGTAATTTGTTAGGCCCGCCTTCACTTAGGGCGGGCACATTTGCAGCAGGGGGCCCTCAGGCCTGCCGAGGACCCAGATCCTCGCATTCCCTCCTCCTTTTCTTCGATAGTCCTCTGAGAAGTCCTGATGTAACAGGCTGCTTCCCTTTTAGCTTTCTCTCGTAACTTGAGATAATTTGGGAAGCAGTCTTCATTAATTCCTCTCTTGTGAACCACCGATCTTCTTGAGGATCAATGTGATGTCTGAACCGCACTCGGTATTGCATCTATGGCTTTGGCGGTCGGCCTCTTCCTGGAGGTTTGGGCACAGGCATCAGCTTGTGCTCGATGATATCATCAATGTCGATGTGTCCGTCCATGGTTGGGGGCAGCATTGCTCTTCTGGAGGGAAACTGATCTGTAGCAGCGAAAGGTGCCAACTTGGATGCATGGAAAACAGGGTAAGTACGCAAGTGTGCAGGAATGTGAATCACGTATGAAGGCCCATCCGGTCGGTCCCCTACAATGTTTAAAATCTCCCAGGGCCCGAAGTACTGTGGCATCAGTTTACGTGAAATCCAAAACTCTTGACCTAGTTCAGATGACTTTACCCAGACTCTATCACCTACCTAAAAGTTAGAGGGCCGTCTATGTTTATTCTCATATGCGATCATAGCATCCTGAGACTTTCTGATATGTTCGACGGCCTGCTGCAGCATCTGTTCATAATTAACAGCAAACTCTCTGCTGCCAGGTGCTGCAGTGGGTTGCCTTCCTGGAAGCAGAAAGTTGAGGGCAGTTATGGGCTTCCAACCAAGGTGTAGCTGGTTGGGGGTCATACCAGTAGTACTGTGCACAACATTGTTGTACAGGCTGGCGACGAGAGGTAACTTCTCATCCCAGTCATCCTGACTTGGCTTAATATAATGCCGAAGCAGGTGATGTACTACCCGGTTCATTTGTTCTGCCTGGCCATTTGACTCAGGGTGGTTCCCTTATGCCATTTGCAGCTTGGTACCCATTTGCTCAGCTGTCGTCTGCCACAGTTCGCTGGTAAACCTTACATCGCTATCACTTACTATCGACGTAGGTAATCCAAAATCCCTGACCCAGTTATCCAGAAATAGTTTGATGACATAGTCAGTTTTAGCATTTTCTGGCATAGCGATATGTCTTGCATACTTAGTAAAGCGGTCCACTATTACGAAGATGTGCCTTTTTCCAGACTTACTGGTCACAAGAGTATCCATGAAGTCCATGGACACACTCTGACCAGGACCTTCAGGAATCGGCAAGGGCTTGATGAGCCCAAGCGGAGCCTGAGTCCTAGGTTTGTCCCTTTGGCAAACCTGGCAAGTTTTAACGTACGTTTTCGCATCTTTCATCATAGTGGGCCACAAAATTTTTGCACTAGGTTAGCTGAAATCTGTTTATAACCAAAATGTCCAGTTGCATTGTGACACGCACCTAGAAACAAACTACGCAAAGACTCTCTGTTAGGCACACACAGTCTTTTATTCCCTGCCTTTTCAAGAAACAGCAAGCCGTCTACCATCGTAAATTCATCCAAAGTCACTTTGTCCTTTGCTTGGAATTTACGAATGATCTTAGACATAACTGAATCTTGTTGATAGGCTTCCACCAATGATCGAGTTAGATCGTTAGATATGCCAAATTCAGTTACTAACGCGCCCAGATAATCTGCCCGACGAGATAATGCATCAACCACTTTGTTGTACTCCCCCTTGATTGGATCAAATTGATAGTCATACATGTCTATCACTTGTATCCATCGCTTGAGTGCATTAGAGAGCACAGGTTGTGTCTTGATCCAGCGCAAGGTCTCATGGTCAGATCTCACGTAGAAGAAGATGCCTAGGAGATAATGTCTCCAATGAACCAGCGCTCTATATAGGGCATAGAGCTCACGCTCATACGTGGACT